TGATGGTGATGACGACTCTCGTGGTCTCCAGGAATGACTTTAAAGTTGAAGTTCTTCTTTTCAGGCTGCGTCTCCACTGCAGGAGGAACAAACTGGTGAGAGAGTTGGAGGAGATGGTTCGTTTGGCCTCCACACTGCACACACAGCTGAAGAGGTGAAGACTAGACGTCATCACACGTCACCTGGTCTCTGCTCTGGTCCTGGGTTTTCACCTCTTTCTTCTTCTCTCCGTCTGTAGCCTCTCAGCCTCCACCTTGTCCTGCTCCTCCGGCAGCAGTCGTGGTTCTCTCACCTCCAGCCGTGGCTCCCTCGCCACCACCTCCAGCCTCGGCTCCACCTCCTCCCTCAGTTTCACCGACATCTACCTGGAGCAGCCTGAACTTTCCGACCCGGACTTTCAGAACAAACTGGACAGTCTCCTGCAGGAGGGTGGAGCGGGGGGATTCCGCCCCACCAACTCCATCACCACCATCCATGAGCACGAGGTGGTTACAGGGAGCAGTGGAGGGAGGGAGGAGGAGAGGTCGCAGGAAACAACGGGAGAAAGAGGAGGAGAGACTTTAAGTTCTGTCGGAGGAATGACAGGACCGGACCTGGGACCAGCCAGGATCCAGAACCTCAGACTGTCAGAAACTCCTGGGTCCATGAGCTCCTTATCTCCGTGCTCCTCCCTCTCCTCACTGTCTCCACCGTGTTCGCCACTTGTCACGGACGCTAACTTCCTGTCAGGAGAGAGGGGCTTGGCCGGCAGTGGGCGGGATCAGTTAGACCTGGACTTGGAACTCCGGAGCCGACTCACAGAGCTGGAACTCAGTCTGGATCCTGAGAAGGAGGAGGAGGAGGAGGAGGAGGAGGAGGAGGTCCATGGTCGAGGAGGAGGATTACAGCAGAAGAAGATCCATGAGAGTCCGCTGAGAGGAGAGGTCAAAGGTAAACAGGAAACTGGGTTTGAACGTCAACACTTTTTTATTCTCAAAACAAAAATCCTGTTTAAAGTCACAGAGTTTCTCTGAGGTTCATCCACCATAGAATACTTTCAAAATAAATGTCTGCACGTATAACTTTAACATTCTTCACAATAAAAGCCCCTCACAGTTTTTCAAAATAAAATGTTTCACTTTCACCCACTATCTGAGGGCTGTGTGTGTGTGTGTGTGTGTGAGACAGAGAAAGTCCTCAGTGAAACCTGAGGTGGAGCTTTGGTGTCAGGTTTTAACAACCAGGTTTCCTGTGTGTGTGTGTGTGTGTTTTGGTTGTACAAAATAAATGAATGAAACACAGACTTGTAAGCAGATCCACTAGGCCCCGCCCCCTGATTTTGTTTCACAGAAAGTGAAAAAGACATTTGTCTTCTGAAAAGACAGACTCTGGTCTAACCTCTGTTTTTTCAGGCTCCGCCCCGCTGCTGCAAGAGGCGGGGACAAAGAAAATGGGCGTGTCCTCCGCAGTGTCTGACGAGTCTGTGGCGGGCGACAGCGGCGTGTACGAGCCGTCAGAGCGCAGGTCGGTGACAAACGTCAGCAGCCCACGTTGTACTGGTTATCACTAGTTAGTTTGACTGATCAGGCTTTTATGGGTAAATGTGTTGTCACTGATGATGTCACTGATGATGTCACTCACCGCCCCCCAGGACGGGCCTCCTGCCTGTGGACCTCCTGACACCCCTGGACGACGGCGTATCTCCCAGCTTTTCTCCTCAGGTTCAGCTGGGTTTACGGTACAAGTCCAGAGAGCAGCGTTTCAGCGTCCACGTCCTGCAGCTGTCCAACTGCAGCGCCCTCTGTCTGCAGCAGAAAATGTAAAGATAATGCACCCTAGTCACCTCTGACGTGACCTGTCCTCGTCACATGGTCAAACCCTTCTCTGTCGGCTCGCCCCTCAGGTACCTGCGGGTGGCGGTGCTGCCTTGCCTGGAGGCCACGCCCTGTCTCTTCAGAACAAGAGGCTACGCCCCCCAAGAAGTTATCGAGGTCAACGAGGTGTTCGGCACCCAAATATCCCACAGTGCACTGCGGCAAAAGACGTTGAGGTTGGACGTGTGCAGCGCTGGGCCGTCAGGTCACGAGGAGTGTCTGGTCAGTGGAACTTTTACTGAACGTTTGGTCAAAATAAAAGACAAAAAGGTGATTTTAAAGTAAAGGACAGATGTTGGAGTGGACTCTGGTGATTAATGCTCAGGTAAAGACAGGTGGCGCTGAGTCACTGTCACAGCATTCAGGCCTTTTAAAAACACTTTGAACTTCCTTTGTTTTCTTCACCTCTCTGTGCTGCCCCCTGCAGGCCGGAGCTCAGATCAGCCTGGCCGACGTCACCTGTTCAGAGGAACGAAGCACAAAGTGGTACAACCTCCTGAGCCACGCCCACCTGTGCAACATCAGCAGCAGCAGTGAGGTCAAAGAGCACAGCGGCGGAGCCGGATCGGCCGGGACGGTGACGATGCCTTCGCTGACCCTGACTGAAGTGTGATTGGTGTTCGTGGTCCGTTTTCACTCGTTTGTTCTGTCTTTGTTTCAGGCTGTTGTTTGTGGCAGTGACACCGTCAGAAGTGTTGACAACAGATCGTGGTCAGTCTTCATCTTCTTGTCTCTGTCCTGACTTTGACTTCAAACCCATTGGTTTCACAGCATTTATGTTTTTGTCACTACTGTTGAACGTTCAGGCCCGGTTCTGATCCTCTGGACCTGTTGGATGATGAAGAAGGACATGGCATAGACAGAGGACGCCCCCTGGAGGAGGACAAAAGCCAGTGGGGTGCAGAGGAAGGAGGGCAGTGCCATCAGGTGACGGACCGTCCAGGGAAAGAAGTGGAGGAGGAGGAGCCTAGTCCTGTGACATCATTATTAGCACCTGTAACAGTGACCACAAAAAAAGTGAGTCCATTTAAAAAAAACAAAAAAACAACTCATATGACTATATAAATGGTTTCTTTCTCATCTCCTTTCATCTCATCACCCTTCATCTCATCTCCTTTCATCTCATCTCCTTTCATCTCATCACCTTTCATCTCATCACCTTTCATTTGCATTCCAGCTCAACTGTTGAGCTGGTAGTTATAACTCATCTCAGTCTAGTGTGGACAGAACCAGCGCCACCTGCTGGTCCTGAGGAGTGGTGGTTTTGATTCTTTAGACCTGGTCCTTTCTGTGTTCGTGGTCCAGGTGAACAAAGAGACCAGTGTGGACGGTCTGTCCTCATCGTCTCATCACTGCTCAGTAGTTCGACCTAAAGAACGTCGGCCTGACGTCCAGCAGCTGCAGAACCCGTTCATGAGAGGAAACACCATCATCCGCTCCAAGACCTTCTCTCCTGGACCCCAGAGCCAGTACATCTGCAGGGTGAGAAGAACCGCTGGTCATCAGGAAGAGACCACAACAATAAAGACCGCCACACTTGATGATCTTTGCCTTTTGTCTGCACAGATAAACCGCAGTGACAGCGACAGTTCCACGCTCTCCAAGAAATCACCGTTTGTCAGAAACGCCTCAGAGAGACGCAGTATGAGAATGAAGAAGGTAAGAAGTGGTTTCTGAGAGGGAGGGGGAGAGGGGGAGATGGAGGGAGGGAGGGAGATCAGTCATTTTTGACCTTTTCTCCATGGACTTTGGTCTGAACTAAAATCTCTGATTTTCTCCATGAGGTTTGGTGTAAAGAGCCAGTGTTCAGCCTTCACTCAGCAGCAGCAGCAGGTTCTAGATCTATGTTGAATAGATCAGATGTTCCTCAGACTCTCTCTGTCCACAGCCCCCTGTTCAGACCAAAGGTCTGGATGGTCTCCTCAGAACCTCCCTGGACCTGGAGCTGGACCTGCAGGTGTCCCGGACTCGTCAGGCTCGACTGACTCAGGAGCTGCAGGTCCTGAGGGAGCTGAAGACCCAGCTGGAGGAAGCTCATCAGCAGGGGCGGACGGAACTGCCCACCTGGGTGCAGGAGGACGAACGCTTCCGTCTGCTCCTCAAACAGGCTGAGAAACAGGTGAGACTCAACCCACTGACGCCCCCTTCTGTTCAGTCAAACCGCCGGATTTCACCACCGTTATTGTCCGGTTCAGACACGTGAGGAGCAGCAGCAGGAGAAGCGTGTGGAGAAGATGATGAGGGCGGCGGCCAAAGACGTCCACAAGATCAGAGGACAGGGTTGTAAGGAGGTTCCTGAGGTCCAGACCTTCAGGTGGGTGGAGCCAAAGTCTGGAAGTCGATCTGGAGCCCGGTCTACTTCCTGTTCCTGTCTGACTGTTTCCTGTTCCCACAGAGAGAAGATGGCGTTTTTCACCCGAGCCAAGAGCAACATTCCCGATCTTCCAGCCGACAGCGTGTAAGAGAAGCATTTCAACTGACCCCGCCCTCTCAGTGGCCCCGCCCCATGATGTAAACCCACCCCCATGGTCCAGCCGAATGAAGACAGAAGTTTGTGGGTCAAATGAAGAGCTTATGGTTTTGTTTTGTGAATAGTGTTTATTTGTAAATTAGTGACATCATCGTTGAGGCCCCGCCTCTGAATTCCTTTCCTTTTCTTAATCGTAAAACTAGTTATCAATCAATGTTGATTCACGTCTAAAACCTGAAAAGTTCAGACGAAGAGGCCCCTCCCACTTCTGACCACTTCGTTAACATAATGTTATCGACAAAGCCTGCTGCCCCCTGGAGGTTCATCTATCACACTACTGCACATTTTATTATTATTACACCTCCTTATGCAGATGATACATATTTTACGAAGTATTCTCTTAATATGTTTGACTAATATCAGAACTATCAAAGCAGCCATGAACCAATCAGAAGCCTCGCTCAGAACCGAAGTTTAAACTAAATTAAAACTCAGTGGTGGATCCACACTGGAAGAAAGGTGGAGCAGAACCGTCTGCGTTTAGGTCCAAATCTGTGGACAGGAGGAGGGGAGACGGGCGAGGACTTGAGGTCAGGAGGTCACAGTGTTTTATTTCATTTCTGGTCGGACGTTCCGGGTCTTCAGCGTTTCCAACCGTCGTCTTCTCCTGAAACAAAGTTATTTCAAAGTCAATGTTAAACACTTTCCTCCCACTGGGATCAAAGCACAAAGAGGCTCAACTGTGAACTCCGTGGTCACGTGACCCGCCCAGACCAACCACTGGACTGACGTCAGCAGCCGATACAGAACAGATGCTCTGATTGGCAGTGAACGAAGACTGGACGTTCAGCCGTGAGTCACGTGACTCCACAGTCACGTGACTCACGGCTGAACTGCACAAACTGCACAAACTGCACATACTGTTTCAATCGTTTGCTTTCAGTGTGTGATTTTAGCCTGAACTCAGGGGGGCGCTACACTGACCTAAAACTCAGACCTGTATTCGTTCTCCTGTTCGGGGGCCACCTAGTGGCTCAAAATTGTCATTGCTGAAAAAAGAAAAACGGTCTTGAACTTGACATCGTTTTACGTTTCGGTTTTTAATGTTTGGACCAAAGGTGTGTGAAGTTGGTGTGGATTAAAGTCATCAAAAACATCAAGCCCACCAATAAACACACATTTGTCTTTTTCCCTCTGGAATGAGGACTTTTTGGACACTACGTCCAAACGTGTTTTGCTGCCACCCTGTGACCAGAGAAGGGTTGAAGTGCGTTGATTTAAGACTGGTCTCTAAGTCTGCCTCACTGTCATCACAACTGAATGTTTTTAAAAACAAAGACGTCGAAATGAAGGACAGAAAAGTCTCATTTTTCTAATGAAACAAATTCTCTGCTGTTTGTCGCAAATTATTTTATTTTTATTTCTGTGTATATTTTGAGTTGGAATGCTGTTTTTAAGTCCATGTCTTTGTTAATGATATTTTATTCTCCTGTATCATCATCTTTGAAGCTTTGATCAGAAACTCTGCTTGTATTTATTGCACACTCGTGATTTGACTTTTCTCTGGACTGTTTTCCCCTAAAGATTCCTGAAAAGCTGTGAATTCTCCTCAGACACTGTTCTTGTTCCACCAGAGTTGTAAATATTTCACCAGCAAAAAACAAACTATCTTTTGTAGACTCACAATGAATAAAAACAAAGATTTTCTCTTTTTACTTGTGTCTTTATAACAAAACATTTTACTGAAGAAAAGAAATGTATTAATTAGTCCAAACGATGCATACATTTTAACTGACTAAAGAAAGAAATAATGTGTTCATTTCATTCATTCATTCTGTTTGTTTTTTCTGTCACTGGACTTTGGTCTGAACTAAAATCACTGACTTGCGTGACGTCGCACAGAAGGTCCTGAGCAGAAGAAGAAATAGCGGATATGACGCATGAAAGCGGTGAACTTCCTGCTTCTCCCTCAGCGAAGTTTCGTCAGCCACCAGTTTCCAGCGGTCGCAGCGCGTCGTCAGTGCCTTGTCGAACCATGGAGGACCTGATGACACACATTGCAGCACGGCTTCAGCAGCAGGTAAACGGCCGCTGAGAACCGGCGGAGGTCGCCTACAGTACAGAGCTAACGGGCTAAAGTACCACGAGCCACACACCGGCGTCAGGCGGACTCACGTCCCCAACCAGACGTCTTTTGACCAGCCGTCAGTTGAAAGTCTTGTCCGTTGATTTGCGAACTAAACTCCAACACCTCAGACAAACAACAGCAGATCCACAGATAATTGAACCGTGTAATAAATTCGGCTGATTTATTTCATACAAACACAGCGTCGCCTCGTCACTGTTAACGTTTTTCCGGTTCTTGGTTGACGTGGGACGTGAGACTTGAACCCGATTTTAAACACATTTCTCTAAACTTCAGACGTCCACTGGTAGCGTCTATATGACGTCATTGATGCTCAGAATATGAGGTGATAAACGTTAAATTGGTTGGTGTCGAAACGACCTTGTGTATTTACGTGGTCTTCCGGGGCCGAACCTTCTTGAACATTGATCCTTAATTGTTTTGTTATTACGTCATTAAAACCATTCACTTTTATGAATTAAATGTGTTGTTTGTTTGTGTTGTATCAACAGTCACCCTGAATGAAACAGTTCTAGAATGTTCCAGTTTGGGGAACATCTTTCTACCTGTTTGACCTGCTTTGGTTGATGGTTCGATGACTGTGTGTCTTCATCAGGAGCAGCAGATCCAGAGTCTGTCAGCAGAACTGCGGGTCCTGAAGAACCCTGAGAACCTGAGTCCAAGTCCACGGCTGGACGAACTGCGAGAAGAAAACACTCGACTGAAATATCGAGTCAACATCTTGAAGAGAGTGAGAGCTGCGATGCCTGAGGACGAGTCTGATCCAAGCCCGGGCTGAGAAGGTCTTCACTGTGTCCTTGTTTTCCACAGAGTCTCCAGGACGATGGTCTCCACGGTCTGGCGCCACCTGGCTGTAGATCCATGGTCAACATCAACCAACAGCTGCAGCACATCTTTGGACAAGCCATCAGAGCTTCCTGTCCTGAACTCCAGGACCCGCCCCTCGCCGTCACACCCAATCAGCAGGCCAAGTTTGGGGACTATCAGTGCAACAGCGCTATGGCCATGGCCCAGGTGGGGGCGCTGTTCACAACCGTTTGCAGTTAAGCGATATTGGAAGGTTGACCGGTGATGTTTCCTTTCCTTGTTGTCAGATGCTGAAGGTGAAGGGAATCAAAACCAACCCACGAGAAATCGCAGAGAGAATCGTCCAGAACCTTCCAGAAAACGACATCATCCAGAAAACTGAGATCGCGGGACCAGGTATGGAAACCAAACAGAGAGACCAGTGAGTCCAAACTGGTACCTCATGGTAGAGTGAGCTTAGCTAGTCCAGGTTTGACCATCGTTAATCTTAGGCACAAATAACTTGTAAAGCAACCATTAGTTTAGAACCAATGTCAAACACGATCTAGCCGAACAGTGAACAGTGGTCCCTCTCCGATCGCGCTAGCTGCGTTCCAAGATCCACCGCAAAATGTGTTAAAAGTAGAGGCGAGATAGTTATTCTACAATTGACATTTATATTAACCTTTTACGAACCTCCCCCACTCTTATCAACCCCCGCAGAAGAGAGAGTGGATGACAGACAGGGGGAGCTGCTGAGACACGCTACAATGAATGATCCAATGAGAGTGAGGAACACAAGAGCATGGTCAATTAGCCAATAGTACACACAGTACGCGTTGTTAGCCAATAGAAAGCTGTGTACGATCTTGTCTGGGGTTGGTTACCGGATCGTTAGCTAACGGCTTTATCTCAATTTCAAAACGAGAATCCACGTTTTTAAAGCCAAAACGTTCGTTTGTATAATTATTTTATAATTGTCAACATCAGCTGCTGCGGGCGGTTTATAGAACCGACCCAGAATGACGCTCTGGTTCTGGTTTCACTCAGTCCTGGTTCAGACTTAGACCTACTGTGCACTGATTGGTCCTCCTTCACCTCTGACACAACCTGTCTTTCAGGTTTTATCAACATCCACCTGAAGAGGGCGTTTGTTTCTCGTCTACTGAAGAACCTGCTTGTAAATGGAGTACAGCCCCCCCCACTGGCTGCCAGGAAGAAGGTCAGGCACTTAAAGTGCTTTAGTCATCGTAGAGTCGGGGCTCCTGGCTGTCAGGCTAGCGCCACCCTCTGGGCCATGGTTTAAATAATGTTTAAAATTTGTAAATGGAGGAAGTGACCGATGGTACCGATGGTACCGATGGTACCGATGGTACTGATTCATGTCTGATGGTACTGATTCTTTACTATTGTTGCTGTTGTAATTGCTGTGTTTGTCCAGGTGGTGGTGGACTTTTCTTCTCCAAACATTGCTAAAGAAATGCACGTCGGCCACCTGCGCTCCACCATCATCGGTGACAGCATGTGTCGACTCTTCGAGTTCCTCGGCTACGATGTCCTCAGGTCGGTTCCTTCAATAGTTCCCAGTCGTTTCCAGACATAGAGTTTTCAAATGTTTTGGAACGCTAATGTAGAGCGGCCGATAGAATTCCTAAAATCGTAAAACTGTTGGTGCGTTGATGTTCAGGGTTTTGTGTTCCAACCTCTGGCTCCGCCTTCCATTTTCAGGTTGAACCATGTCGGAGACTGGGGAACCCAGTTTGGAATGTTGATCGCTCACCTGCAGGACAAGTTCCCCGACTACCTGACGGTGTCCCCACCCATCAGTGACCTTCAGGCCTTTTACAAGGTCAGTTCCTGGTCTTCATACAGAAGTCCATAGAGAAAATCAGGGATTTTAGCTCACAGAGATGCAGCATCTGTTGGTCCACCGCTGCCTCCTGTGGCCTGTTACTGTAACTGAGGTCAGTCTGAAGAAAGACCACAGGAGGCAGCAGCAGTCTCTTTTCTCCTTACCCACCTGCTGTCTCTCCCCTCCGTCTCCTCTGACATCAGGAGTCAAAGAAACGTTTTGACGAGGAGGAGGAGTTTAAGAAACGAGCCTATCAGTGCGTGGTCCGACTGCAGAGCAAAGAACAGGACTTCATCAAAGCCTGGCACCTGATCTGTGACGTGTCCAGGAGAGGTACTGCACACACGCACACACGGACATCTGTGACATGTGTGACGTGCGTGACATGTGTGACGTGTGTGTGTGTGTGTGTGTGTCAGAGTTCCAGAAAGTCTACGACAGTCTGAACGTCAGGATCCTGGAGCGAGGAGAGTCGTATTACCAGGAGCTGATGACGGATGTTGTGAAGGAGTTTGAGGAGAAAGGTGAGAGTGGAGGAGGAGAGAGAGACACACACTTCACTCTGTTGGTGCAGTTCCTGAACCTCACCACCTGGAGCCACTATTGTGCTATAAGAGTTTTCTTCTGGCCTTTCTCTGATTTTCTTAAATCTTCATCACACACTCGCTCCTCCTCCACCTCCTCCACCTCCTCTTCCTCCTCTTCCCAGGTCTGGTTCAGATGGAGGAGGGTCGTAAACTGGTCTTTGTTCCTGGTCAGTCCATCCCTCTGACGGTGGTCAAGTCTGACGGCGGTTACACCTACGACACCTCTGATCTCGCTGCTCTCCATCAGCGTCTTTTTGAGGAGAACGCCGACATCATCATCTACGTCACCGACAGTGGACAGGTGAGGCCTCACAGATCAAAGGACAGGTGAGGCCCCACAGATCAAAGGACAGGTGAGGCCTCACAGATCAGAGGACAGGGGAGGCCTCACAGATCAGAGGACAGGTGAGGCCTCACAGATCAGAGGACAGGTGAGGCCTCACAGATCAGAGGGCAGGGGAGGCCTCACAGATCAGAGGACAGGTGAGGCCTCACAGATCAAAGGACAGGTGAGGCCAACAACCAAACAATTAAGGCAGTTCAAGGAGAATAAAGATTAAATATGGCGGTCATCCAGAATTAAGTAGTTTTCTGGAAAGAAAATGGATGTGGCAAAAGATGAAAGGAAACATCAGAGGAGACGTCAGATGTTCCTGCAGGGTTTTCACTGTGTGTGTGTTTGATAGCTTCCTGTTTCCTTTCTCCACAGGGCACTCACTTCCAGGTGGTTTTTGCAGCAGCTCAGATGATTGGCTGGTACGACCCCCAGGTGACCAGAGTGGAACACGCCGGGTTTGGGGTGGTCCTAGGAGAAGATAAGTGAGTGGTCAACCAAAACCCCCCCTTCTTCCCCCAAACCCCCCCCCCCCCCCAACCCCACCAGCGCTCACTCCTCCAAACACCTCACACAAAGGTCCAGTTTGTAAGCTCCAGTGACCCCTGCTGGGAGACTGTCGTCACACACTGAGGGAACTTTTGTTTTTTCAGGAAAAAGTTCAAGACTCGTTCTGGAGACACGGTTCGTCTGATGGACCTGCTGGATGAAGGTCTGAGGAGGTCCATGGACAAACTGAAGGAGAAGGACAGGGACAAGGTGAGAACCATCTGATGATCTCGTGACCTTCACCTGGTCTCCAGCAGACCTTCTCTCTAACAGCAGCAGCTTGGTTCTGGACCCTGCAGGTTCTGAGTCCAGAAGAACTGGCGACAGCTCAGCGCGCCGTGGCGTTCGGCTGCATCAAGTACGCCGACCTGTCGCACAATCGCATCAACGACTACGTCTTCTCCTTCGACAAGATGCTGGACGACAGAGGGAACACGGCCGCGTATCTTCTCTACGCCTTGACTCGTATCAGGTGAGTAGACCCTGGAGGTTACGGCTCCACCTGCTGGTTGGAGACAGAATGTGTCAAAAGTTTAAATAACAGCTGTTTTGGGTTTTTTTTTTCACGTCATTGATGTTCAATCAAAGGAACAAAGGAACTCTCATTGTTTTCTGCTGACGACGGTTGTTTTTCGTGAGCGTTGAGTCCTTCCTTCCTGTTTCCTCCTCAGATCCATAGCTCGTTTGGCCAACATTGACGAAGTTGCGCTCCGCAAATCTGCAGAGACGACAGAGGTGATCCTGGACCACGAGAAGGAGTGGAAGCTGGGGAAGTGCATCCTGAGGTTCCCTGAGATCCTGCAGAAGATCCTGGACGACTTGCTGCTGCACACGCTCTGTGACTTCCTGTATGAACTGGCTACGACCTTCACCGAGTTCTACGACAGCTGCTACTGCGTGGAGAAGGACAGGCGGACGGGTAGGTCGCGGGGTCACAAAGAACGCGCTTCAGTGCCGTTCTTTGTTCCCAAATGTTTTAGTTAGTTCCCATCATGCACTGCTGCTCCTGCAGTGAAATGATGAGAGTTGACTTCAGCTCAGAAGAAGAAAATCCTCTTCCTGTTCTGCAGGTCAGGTGATCAAAGTCAACATGTGGAGGATGCTCCTCTGTGAAGCCACCGCCTCCATCATGGCCAAAGGCTTTGAAATCCTGGGCATCAACCCTGTCCACAGGATGTGATGTCATGGTGGCCACGCCCACCTCCACGATTGTCCTTCCCTACGGCCGCTTTAGCAGAAAGGCAGTCGGGACGTTGGATCGACGGTCGGACGTTGGATCGACGGTCGGTCGGCCGCTTTAGCAGAAAGGCAGTCGGGACGTTGGATCGACGGTCGGTTTTTAATAAAGAGATGAAAGAGTCTGATGATGTCATCATTGTGTCATCTATCAGAGCTCTGTTTCTGGAATGTTCTGAGATTTGTTCTTGGATGGTTCTGTGTCTGTGGAGAAAAAGGAGGAGGAGGGGGAGCGCTAACGGACGAGAGACAGAGAGAGAGAGAGAGAGAGTGTGTGTGTTCTGTCCAGTTGTCTCTGCTGATCCAAAGTTCCTGCGGCGTCTCATCATGAACAGTTATCAGAGTTAATGACGTAAACAGGAGCTGCTGACAGCGCCCCCTGCAGGGAATCATTATCTAGTGCACTGTTGCAGAAAACAGGATGGAGACAGTCGTGGGGTGGGGGGGGGGTTGGTTCGGCTCATGAGGGGGTGGGACTGTGTGATGTACCATTGTCATGTGACCTCTGACCTATGACAGGATTCTCTCATGTTTATTTTCTATGAGGTCACAGAAAATCTTCAGTTGGGGGGAGGGGAGGGGGGGCAGTGGTCTCTGACTGACTGTGTGTGTGTGTGTCTTTAAAAAAACTCTAATCCTTGTTTACGACCCCTGCTGAGAGAAGCTGACATTAAACCAACACACACACACACACACACACACACACACACTCTCTCTCTCTCTCTCTCTCTCTCTCTCTCTCTCTAATCCTCTGCCTGAGTCTCTGATGTTTCTTTTTTTAGGGGCTGAAGAACTCCTTTCAGAATTAAGTCTGTGCTCCTGGTCTGTGCTCCTGGTCTGTGGATCCACGGACCAGTATTGTGCAGGTTCTAAGACCAGAACCATCATTTTCATTCTCCGTGTGTGTGTGTGTGTGTGTGTGTGTGTGTGTGAGAGAGAGAGAGAGAGAGAGAGCGGTGAATGTCTCTCGCCCTCCTTGGTTTTCACATCATGACTCTGCTGCAGGAAGCTCCGCCCCCTCAGCCCCAGTCTACCTCTCTCTACCTCAGGCTCACTCTCTCCTCCCCTCCCTGTGTCTCTCTGCCTCTCTCACCTCCTCCTCCTCCTCTCCTCCTCTCAGGCTTCACTTGTGTTTCTGCCTCCTGCTCGTCGCTCCGTGCTCCTCCCTCTCTCCCCTTCTGTCCCTCTTTATTCCACGCACATCCTCCTCGTCTGTCTCTGTGTCTCTGTGTCTCTGTCTCCCGGGGACATCTTTGTCTTCTCCTCTTCTTGATCTCCTGGTCATTTCTCCTGAACTCAGTGATGTAGATGCAGCAGCTCCTCCTTCTCCTCCTCACTCTGCTCCTCCTCTCAGTCCAGTTTTGGAAGGATCTAACCGTCAGTGTGAACCTCCTGGTGCCTCCTGGTTCTGCTTGGGTTCTCCTGTCCTTTGAAGCCCTCCTCTCTGAAGGATGCACCTCCACGGCTCCTTCTCCTCTCAGATCCCAGACCCGCTCCCCTGAGGGGACTCAGAAAAACCATGTCCCCCCTGAGCCGTCTGGTCCTGCCGTCCCTGGACTCCAGCCTCTGAGCAGCTCCGGGTCGTGTTGTTCTTCTGGAAGAAGGTTCTGGTTCTTGGACCGACCAATCAGGACCACAGGTAAGACCAGGTCGGACTCTGTGCTGGGTTCAGACCAGAACCGGTTCTGGTCTGTGTGTCTGATGGACAAGTGGATTCAGGTCTTGTTTGAGGATCTTGTAGAAAACCTGATCCAGGATTCTTCCTGATTTTGTTTGGGTTTTCCTGGTGTCGTAGCCCTGGACCTGGATCAGGGTCCAACGAAGACCCAGAATGGGCTCATCTCCAGACCCTGTGACCTTGAACCTGGTTCAGATCTGATCTGTGTACGGATCTGGACCAAAAGATGTGTTAGTCCTGGTGTAGAACTGGACCAGGACATCAACAGTGTGAAGCTCCTGGTCCTGGTCCTGGTCCTGAAGGTGCAGTTGTTTGATGAAGTCCAACCTGCTGTCAGAGACAGGTGAGGACATGTCCATCTGTTGTCCCTCAGACACTGTCCTCTCTCTCTGCTCTTGATTGACACCTGTCATGAGAAGGAGCAGCAAGAAGGGGGAGGAGGGGGGAGGAATCCTGTCACTCCACGGTTCACATTTAACAAATCAAATTATTTGATAAAACACTGAAGTGTGTGGGTGTGTGTGTGTGTGTGTGTGTGTGTGTGTCACTTCCTTCCTGTTAATTACCCAGCAACAGCCTGATTGGAGGGCGGAACAGGGTCGACGTTTTTAAAAATACCCGACAACATGAAGACACAAAACTGGAGGTTGTTCCAAACTCTTTGTCTGTGTTTACGACCAAGAGAGAGAGAGGGGGGGGGGCTTATGTCATGTGGTGTGACACAAAGTCAGATGTTCTTCTTCTGGTTCTGCAAACGTCCTCCTGAAAGGAAGAAGAATGTCTCCTGGACGTCTGCAGTGACTGTTGCCTGAGCTAAAGCTAAAGCTAAGAGCTAAAGCTAAGGGCTAATGCTCTACACTGAGGGCTCCAGTGACCCCTCCTCTACAGTGAAGGCCAATGATGATAGTGTCTGAACATTAGGTGTCGCTACAGCTGTGTGGTCTACAGTGATTTGTTTTTACTTTCTGGTCCAGATGGTGATCAACTGGTGGTCCACGTCTGACTGTATCTCAGCAGGTTTGGACACAGGAGGTGAGGAGGTTCTGGCTATGAACTAAAATCTCTGATTTTCTCCATGGACTTTGGTCTGAACTAAAATCTCTGATTTTCTCCATGGACTTTGGTCTGAACTAAAATCTCTGATTTTCTCCATGGACTTTGGTCTGAACTAAAATCTCTGATTTTCTCCATGGACTTTGGTCTGAACTAAAATCTCTGATTTTCTCCATGGACTTTGGTCTGAACTAAAATCTCTGATTTTCTCCATGGACTTCTGTGTGGAGCAGTAAATGATAATTGTCTCTGTATCTGACCCGACTGGACAATGAAATCATTTCTTTCAGCTGATGTTTTGACAGAGACAACTTCCTACTGCTTC